TCATTTCTTAAAGTAATTATAGTTCTGTTTTCTTCTTTATTTCTTTGCTCCCTGAAATATGTCTAAGATTCTTTAGAATGATGAAGCTTTCCAGTTATTAAGCAGTTTTGTTTGAAGTGCATGACCTAGGATTCTATTAATGATCAGTTCTGACCCCTACACCTCCCTATGGAGTCCCAGAGATAATAACAAGAGCAGGGAATTATTGATTGAAACTAATGTGGCTTCCTTGTAGATCCTGAGTGTCTGTGTTAAACAAAATCAATCAATGCCAACTGAAAAGCATGTTAATCATAATGTATGAACAACTTATATACACAATCATCCTATAGAAACCAATATTGCTACAACACATGCAAAAGCAATTATATATTGCTATAACTCTAAAAAGGAGAAAACAAACAAACAAAATAAAAAACAATCAAACCACACTTTGATCTGTAACAAAAGATGTCTGAACACTCTGAATTCACCTACCTGAGCTACAACTGCCTAAATTTAAAATTTTTGGATATTGAGATTGAGCACCTGGCATTTTTCATAGCACTTAGTTGACAAAAAAGTGGTACTCAAATCCAGAGCATAAGAGTCTTCTAATCACAGAATTCAGGTAAGCAAATTAATGATTGCCATCCTAATTTTCTCAGGCAAATAAACAAATTCTCTTATACCAATTTTCCTCTCACCAGCGGGTTCTATTTTCTGAACAAAATTGCAGTTTATTTCACTTACCTATAAATATATATTCTACATAAGTATTTTTGAATTATTAAATGTTTAAAAGTTCTTTGCACACTTCTCAGGATATTATCCTTTTATATTAAGATATGCTTTGGCATAACTAATCTTTTCAGATTTATACAATTATTGTGAAACAACACAAATCATGGGTGCATCTGTCCACAAACTTTTATCAAAGACTTTTTCATCACTTGCTTTAAAAAAAATTTATATTAGCAAAGGTACTGTACAAAACCAAAGAATAATTGCTATATTCCAATCTCTCACTGGTTCCAGCTTAAAAAGTGATGAAGCTTAACTGACACACAGGGAAATTACACTGGTGATAAACCAGATGCTATGTTGAAATAATATATCTTATCAAACTATAGCAACTGAGGTCATTGCTATGGAACTTGATCTCAAAAATAGGACTAGGGGACACCAGTTGCAAATAAAAATAATATAATGAAAAGTGCAGGCAAACTGCTGTCATAATATCACAAACCCTACATTCATGAATAAAAATTACATCATAACAAAACATACCAAATATACATTATGACTTTGTGGGTGAAGAAATGAAGCAATCAACACTAAATCAAGCTTTAAATCGGGGTGAATATTGATGCCATTTTTTCAGAATATATTAGCAATCTGCCATAGTTAAAGACTGCTAGGAAAAAATACAAATCAAATCCACCTTCTCTGTCACATGGAAATATTTCAAGAAAATCTCTATTCTTTGTGTGCTATTCAGACCAAGTTCTAAACACCGTATTTCCATTTCTAAAAACTCCAGTTTTATCTATTTGACATTCACTGTGTTTCCTTTCTTAGGAAAAGACTTCTGGTGATGCAGCAGTGGAAAGCAGACTGGATTTTGATAATCAACTCAGGACTTACTCTAAGAGTGATGTTGACAAGTGCAATCTCACCCAATATTTGTAAAGTTTAAGAGCTCTTAAATTACTTACTCCTTTTGCTACAAGAATTGACACTTGCATTTCAAAGCTCCAGGAAGCGTACTACACAACTGAATATATTCTAGAGTACTTCTCTCCATTGAACATTGTAAAAATGGTAGCCAGGTATAACACAATCCATTCTAAGATTGTAAAAATTACCAGCTTTGATGCTGAATTCTTAAACCACTCTCTTACTAGAAGATGCAACTAAATTGTTAGCTATTTTCTCACTATTGGGTTAGCAGGTCAGACTTACCATGCCTGCTTCCTTCACATATGACTTTGCATTAAAGGTCTAAAGTCCATCTTCACTTTAAAATAATATCTTTAAAACCAAACTATATAAATAATGAAATTAAAATAAACAAATTTTTGGGTTTTTTTTGCTTTAGACAGCAAAAATGAAATGTCAAATTTCATTAATACTTAATGAATATTAATATAATGAACTTAATATAAACTATAATGTAGATGAAGAAAAATTTGCAAAAGTACATACTACATCCTATTTAAAAATCCGAGGAAAGTATTTATTTGTATGTTTGAAAAATGAGATTCTTTATTTCATTAAAAGAAAAACAACCTAGCAATTATGTTTGGTTGTTACATTCCTAAACCAGCAGTGTTTGACTGAATATTGGAGACAAAACCAATTTTCCCCTACAGAATTTTATGTAGCATTCATGTCATGTTCAGAATAAGGCTTTAAGTAGTTGTGTTTGAAAAAAATTATTCTAGACATATGTATAAAAATATGTAAGAATTCAATGTTAATTCTTTAACGCATGAGCCTGGTAAATTCATAGATGGATACTTGTCTGTCAGTGGCTAATTTATCTGCCAGCTTTACTTGCAAGCAAGTTGGAGACAAGATAAAGCGCTTGTTTATACTTTCCTATATAATTGTGCTGATGTTATGTAAAATTAATTTTTTAACTTCATTCATGACAAAATCCTACAGACCAAAGGTTGACTTTTGCCTTCATTTTAGTCTGGAAACTTGATATACAATTCTAGGTATTACTAACCTTTTTGAGCTCTGATTACAAAACATCCCCAACAGTGCTGAGGAAAATAAAGTAGCATGTCCTACATATCTTGTAGTTACTCTTAGCAAAGGTCTCAACATTCTAATTAAAAACATTTCAGAAAATAATGAAGAACCATGTTATTCTATCTTAATATGTCACAGAATCAAAGAGTACCAGGTAGGAAGGGAACCTCAAGGATCATCTGATCCAACCTTTTTAGGCAAAAATGCCAGTCTAGACCTAATGACTCAGCATCCCTGTCCAACTGAATCTTAAGTGCACAATACCAGGGAATCTACCAGTTCCCTGGGGTGTTTCAAATGATGATTTTTCTCATTTTGAAAAATTACCATTTTTTGTCTAATTGGAATATCCACAGAAGAAACTTGTACCCATTATCCCTCATCCTTTCCATGTGACTCCTTGCCAGCCTTAAATAATTATGGTATTTAGACACAAATGTTAAAGGGAAGCTTAATTTTTCAGTTGAGGAACTTCCCACTTATTTTTCAAACATGAAGTATCACATAAAAAACCTTCACTGACTACATGATCTCAAACCATGGATCCTGTCATTCAGTTCTCTGTTTTCATAAAATTATGATCAAGCACCTTGAAAGCACAAGCAGAATTTGAAACAGATTTTATTTGTGAGTTTCCCCAAGAAATAAGGAAAGAAAGAAAAAATATTTTCAAATATCAAATTAACTCAAAGCTTCCATATTTTGAAAACAATCTAAGGTAATAATCGAAGGATGAGGTGCAGTCATGTCTTCTTAATGACATTTACATTACAGCTAAGTTTCATCTTAAGAAGACACGGGTGTATCAAGGCAAGGCAGAAAAATAATGTGTAACAGGGAGTGATACATCTGACTTATCCTAGGGTGTTAAAATGAGATAAATTACTCTGAGAAGGTCCCTTTTGCTCTTTATTGGGTATAAAATAAAACTGGAGTTGCTAGCAGCTACCTTTACATACCCAAGTTACAGCAAATCAATCTAACCATAGGCCAAAACTAACTGATGGAAAATTATGTTTTATTCCCATCAGCTGCTGCAAAACTCTTTTTTTCTTGCTTAGAACTTTGTTGTTTTAAAATAGGAAACATATGTTGAATATTTTAACTGGAAGTAAGCATTTTTCCTAAAGTCGCAACTATAAGTGACACAATAAAATCATTCCTTTCTTAAGCAGCTGTATCTTATGATCTTACAATAAAACATGAAAGGACAACTACTGGATATAGTATTATGACAGATAAGAAACTATCTTAAAGAATACTAAAAACAGTGAAAGAAAAATGCAAAAATAGAATGTGCATGATGTTCTATATTTAGCTTTGTGGGTTGGCTCTGAAATCTCCTTTTGAGCTGTCATTGATAATCACTGGTATGACCAAATTCTAAGGCAACAGTAGGGTGTTGTCCACAATATTTTTATCTGAGGATTTAAACCAGCCAGTATTAAAAGTTAATCCGTATTTATTATAGTTCTACAAATAAGCATATTTTTTTTTACTTTTGTTAATGGAGACTAGATCAAAACATGTAATTCTACATCATTATTTTCAATATGTCTCCAATTTCATTTTTAATAATAATGCTTGCTAAAAGCCCTGCAAGGCAGACCTCTCTTGAAGACTCTCCCACTGTTAACATAACAGAGAATTTAATTTGTCTCAAAAAATTATTTCAAAGTGAAACGTTTTCATACCTCCCTGTATGTGAGCAGTTTTCCAGTTACATGCTCTCAGTGCATCTGCAGTGAATCATACAGAATATAATTTTAAAGAGAGAAGAAATACTGGACATGTGATGTATATTCAGATACTGTATTCCAATTATAGCATCAGTGCTTTCTTCAACAGCATTAAATATCACACAGGAGCAGTCACATTAGCCTCCCAGTGGCATAAGACCTTTGAGGCTTACTTGCTGCATTTTTTTAATGTTCTAAGGAATAAAAAGTAGAGGAAAAAAGAATGCCATTTCACTGCTGATTCTGTAATCACATGCAGAATATAACAGCACTATGCCCTTAACATTCAACTGCCTATCAAGTTGAAACAGAAGTGAAATTTCCAATGAAAAAAATGTAATTGTAGTATCTATACTATTAGTCAGTATTACCATTTGGTTGAATTTCAATGCTATTGCCAGTGTTAGCTGGGACAACATGAAAATTTCTTCTATAGAGTTTTTATGGTTTCTTGGGTTTTTTTTAATGACACCATTCTTGTATTGGCAGAAACTTATTGAATAGATTTTTGCTTCTTACCATCAACACATGCTGGCCTTGCTCTTGTTGTACCGGCAATCTGTCCTTTTTTACATGCACAGCGAGCTGTTTGTCGGGCTATAGTCCTTCGGGGCTGACTGCTATCTCTGTCCAAAGTGACAATCTCACATGTACCTGCAGCCAGTTGACCTGGAAAAAAAACCAGCAACAGGTACCAGAGTCACTGAATGCACTACAGGAAATCTATTACAGCCGAATAGAGCCACGGCCCTAAGCCACAGCAGACACTCCACAACAAATGGGCAGCCAGACGATGGATATAATAAAACTGAGATGAGTTACAATTTTTCTTTGTGGTGGACATATGAAAACCCTGCACACTGGTTCTGCCAGAAAAAGATTATTGTTCCGTAAAAGCCAGAGAGTCGAGGTTACACAGGTTACTTTTATTTATGTTGGCTAAGTAAAGGAACAAACTTTCAAGGCAATGGAATTTGAATTGTATGCTCTTTCCATACTTTCAGAAAAGAAGTTTTAAAGCATACAGAAAATAAAAATTTCCCCAAATTTCCATGAATACAATGAAGTCTTAACTGGTTTGTGTGTTGCTTTTGAAGGAAAAAGCCTTTCAAAGCATGCCCACGTTTGACAAACTGTCGGTCCTTCGGCTCTTGCTTCATCTAAACTGAAAGGTAATTAATTCTCTTCCTGACTCCTATTTGATTTAGCTGTTAATTTCTTTTTTTTTCCTTTTACTAAATTTATTATGTAATTGTCAAATGGCTTAAATGACACCACACCCTTAGCTCAGTAATTACTTCCTTTTAATTGACTTGTCCAATATAGGGTAGCTTTTCCTAAGTACTAAAGAAATCTTCACCACCTAATTCTGAATTTGGACTAGGCTATGAGAAACAAAACAAAACTTTCCAAAAATTATTTTATGAAGATCATTAGTTTGAAGTTAACGTTATACTTTTAAAGCAATGCACTTCCTCTGGTACAATTTAAAGTAGCCTAGTAGTATACCAAAATGATACCTTTTACAGGCATGAAATATACATTATTGAATTTCAATGTGTAGAAAGACAAAAAAAATTTCCAACTACTACTTTGCATTACATACATTACATATTCTGGAGTTTATAGTGCAGTAGCAAACGTGCAACACCATCTGCAAATCACAAGCTTTCCATGTTTTAGTTTTTATTAAAGAAAAAAAAATCCTTTTTTTTTTTTTTTTTTAAACAGTTTAAGTAATATTCACAGTAAATCATTTTATGCAGTAGAAATAAAAAGAGAAAAAAACCAAAAATTCTATTATAACACCAGAACTAAAAAAATAAAACCAAATCAACCAGAAATATATATGAATGGCCTTTAAATCAAAAGGTGCAATGCTATTTATTCTATGCTCCTTTTTTTTTCATTCAGAATACAAGTTTACCCAGTCTACTCTTCTCAGAAGCAGTTAAAATGCTTGTTTTGTGGAACAGCAAAATTTTGCAGACTGTCACCAGCATTGTATCTCATTCCCTGCTAAGGCACCTAAATTTTATGTTTCTGTGACTCTTACACTGCAGGGAATTACAAGATGGCAAAAATTAAGATCTCAAGGATGGAACAAGGTATTACAAATTCATGCAAATATATGACATATGTAAGTAATATCCATTAGGCATTTATAAACACATATATTCACAATAGTGAACATTATCACCCCAGGGTTTAATGGCTGCTGGCAACTAGATTTATGAGCTGTGGTCAGTCCTGTGTTTCTATTCTTTTCCACCCAGTCTGTTAATAAAAACATCTTAGGATAAACATATTAATTAGAGGACTTTTACTCTGTTATATGCTCCTTTTTTCCTTTGTTCATTCAAAAATACCAGATTAGATGCAAAGTTTAGCAAGAAAGATAGCGGCACATAAATTTCAGAAAACAACAAGGGAGATCCAGCTACACTCGAACATGTTGAACTGAAAAAAAGAAAAAAAAACCCAACCATTTGAGTTGGCACTAACATATTTCATTCTGGGTTGTAGGAGATGTATCACTCCTAAAGAATATAGCTGTCTTGGTAGATCACATGAAAAAAAAATATAATCAGAAGTGTATTTAGACCCTGATACCTTAGGCCACAAAAAAGTGGAAGCGTAAGTAAGACACATGTAAGTATATGTGTTTCCATACTCTCAATTATCCATGAGTCTATTTCATTCATTAAAAAGTCATTTAATCTAGGTGACTAATTGTATAAACTCTCATTTCAGAGGAAAGGAACCAGACTTACAGCACAGTGAAGGCAAATAATGACTATACTCAGAGAATAAAAACAATTAAGCTCTATGACATGATAATTTTTGGGACTGCAAGCAATGAGTATCAATAAGAACAGCTAATGGTATTTTCCACTTGGACTTGTAGATTTTTAGTTCTGCTTTTGTTTTCAGAAATGATAATTTCTACTAGGCATAGTGATCTAATTTTCTTTATGAATTTTGAAAACTAGGATACCTACACAAGAGTAATTGTTATACAATTTTGTCTGTTGCTTTTCTTTTTTGTATAGCAGAAGAAAATTGTAAGCTGTTGCAGAGCTACAGGAGCTCTTACATATATGACATAAATATTTCTTCCTGATTGTGTCACAGGCTGCAAAGATTGCAAGCATATTGAGCACTGCAGCAGAGAGCACATCCAGTGTTACTTGGCTTTAGATGGCTGTAAAGCATGAAATGCATTAGTTAAGGTTATGGAAGGCCATCTCCAGAGAGACAGTCATACTGGTGTAAAACATGTCCTCTCTGGCTTTCAGTAGGTAGAGGGTAAGTCTACAGGAGTACACTTAGATGACGTGTACTACGTTAGCTTTTTAACAATTTTATCTAGAAACATAAGGAACAAAGTAATGGAACTAAATGAAAATTCTTTTTGCAAGTACTGAATTACAAAAATTAGAATACCTTTCATTTTCAGGGAAGTTAACACAGTGACCTCTTTCAGAGATGTTAATGAAAAAAGGCTGTTCATCGGTGAGTCTCTGAACATGCTCCAGTTCACTCCTAAAGCCAGAGAAGAAATCTCAAGGCAGCAATGGCTGGAGTTTCACTGGAGCTTTTCCAGTTGAGAGATTAAGAGCCACAGACCATGAACAGTCATAAAGCTCCACACTTTCGTTATATTTTCTTTATGTACTTGCAACACACAAAGCAACTCGCCACCCTCCAACCTAAACAAAATAATATTGATATTATTGATTTTATTGATATAAAATAATATTGATGGAAAAAAATGCAAGCATCATTAAAGAATAGAGTCATACTAGCCTAACCCATAAGCCTAACCCAGAGTCATACTAGTTGAACCCAAAGAAAATTTTGGGTTTTACTGTTTTATGAACCAAACATGAAGATTATTTCAGAAGAACCATAAAACTGGAGCTTTCCAAGTTAATTAGCTGATATTTTTTTGTTGTTGTTACTCTTACTATATATATATATATATATATATATATATATATATATATAATATATATATATATATATATATATATATATATTTAATATTTATTTTATAATTTCAATACAATAATTAAGACCTCACTGGCAATGTATCTGATTTTGTTTTCACCATCTGATTACTAAACAGAGAAAAGTTTCAGTTCTTTAATGCTCATTTATAGAGTAGCACTGTATTCCTAAAATGCCTGTAGATCTCTCCCCACTATCTCCCGTCACAAACACAAATGCTTCTATATGGAATTATTTCAGAAAAAGGGAAAACCATAGGATTCTGAATTAAAAATGCAAGTCAAATTAAACAAAAATCAAAAAATTGAACAACTCCTAAAATTTTAAGTAAAACAGGACTGCACTCTTGTCTTATATCTTCAAATTGTTTACATTAACTGCTGTATACATCACTTCTTTTGTTTTTTTCCTAAATGAAGCCCATCTGTGATCAGTCCTCAAATTGTTCTTTGAGAGACTTTCATGGAAGTGTAGGAATCATGAGTATAGGTATATATATTTAGCAAATGTACAGGAAAAATCTCAAGGTAAAAAGAGCATGTCTTTAAAAGATCTTTAGTACTTGCATTCTTGAAATAAAATAATTTGTTATTAAAAAGCTCGAAAAGCTTAAAAACAAAGGGCATTTTTCACTTTTACCACTAAGATTCTTCTGTTAACTAAATGTCATTGTTTAAAGAACGAAGATTTTGAAAGATCTGTATTTTCTGCAATAGTTAAAAGCCTTAAATAGTACATATGTTTGTACTACATGGAGCGTACTTGGGATAATATTTTAATTTTCTGTGTCTACAAATATTTCTGTTCTTCAATAGGAAATAAAAGCCTAAATAATCCACATAAACCACAGTAATCAAATTGCAGATTTTTTTTTAATTTATGCTTATTGTAAAGCTGAAGGCTTTACGTTAAATTCATTTAAAGAAAGAAAATCAAATTATGAACTAATGAAATCTGTGTGTACAGTGGAAGTAAGTCTTGATCTAAATATACAGATTTTTCCAGAGGTTTAGATTTCATGCTCATCCAGAAAACCTACTTATGATTTGTACATGCAGGCTTATATTATATTTTCAGCGAACAATTTTTCCATGCATCACCAATTTGATGCCTAGCAACACAAGCTCTTTTAGTTCGAAATGCTTTAAGTTAGATGGTATTAAAATTCTTGGCTAGATTCAGATATGCTTTTGTCAGTGAACACAATGCAGGAGTTGTTTCAAAATCAGATTATAGGAATACATTCAGAACTTTTCTATTACAATATTGAAGTCTTTCTAACAACAGAGCCATGCCAACTCCTGAGCAGAGCTGAGGATCAACAATTCCTACTGAAATAAGGGAGAACTGAAATACATAGTGCCACTCATTATCTGCAGTTTGACATTAACCTAAGTAACAAATATTTTAAAATAATTCAATTCAAAATATAAAAAGCATATACTTAAGTGGAACTCATATATATACTTTTTGTCATATATCCTTCTTCAAAGAAAATGTCCTGAAAGAACATCTCTTACGCTGAACATGATCCAATTCCTAACAGCCCAATTACCTATTCTTTTTAAACTTTAGTTAATAATGAGAACCACATTTATGTTTAAGCTGCAATACTAAAATTTGTGAAAATTCAACTAGCATTAAATAAGAAAGAA